TCCCACTCAAATCGCTTTTTTAACTACTTGAAGTGTTCATAGTGGTCTTTATATTGTGATTATGAAGTTTTTAGCCAAAATCACTTCAGCTGTGTCATTTTCAAGGGCTTTTCTTCTGCAGAGCTCCAGGAGCTCATTAGCAATTCACCTCTGAGTCATGAGCGGAGACAGCGCTGTTCTGCACACTCCTCTTTGAGCTAGCTTGCAACGTAACATTGCCAGTGTAGTAGAAGTAGCAGGTAACATAGGAGCTAATCAGCTTCTCGGACACTAATGTCTTTAGGGGCATGATGAAACTTGGTATCACAATTAGTTTTCTTACGAGCATTGCAATCCGCCAACACACGTACTTGTTCCGCGATCCTCCTCTCTACTTCTACGAGTCTGGCCTGCATAGCGAGGCTCCGGGGGCGGAGCTTGGATTTGTGACATAAGAAATCTCACTGTGTCTGATCCTGCCATTTGGGTCTGTCAGGAATTCACAGTAATTTGAAGGCAGAAGCACTCAGAAAAGCAGTTTCGCATTTACTTTTCTCTTGATATGTCCTGTAGCGTCACAAAAATGCCAAATGAACATGTAGAAAACAAGAAAAACATGATATTCGTTCTGTCTTTAAGAGGTTGCCACTTAGCTGGATCCAGACCTGAGCTCCAAGTGGTACCAACCAATCTGATATCTAACCTAAAGCTACCTCTCCTCCGGGGTCTTAACTGGCTTCAGCGGACTGTTACAGTACTCTCAAGGTCCTCAGGCTTGACTCAGTCTGTCTGCACTTGGATGACTTTTATGAGCACATAGAAACAATAAGCAGAGCAATTGTGTGTAACCTGGTCATATCATTATGTTTCTGTTTAGCCTGTGGGTTTGGAAGTGAACCCCATCACAGCAATTCACTGTCCTGTTAGGGACAGAGAGAGCATTATGTGTGTGTGTGTGTGTGTGTGTGTGTGTGTGTGTGTGTGTGTGTGTGTGTGTGTGTGTGTGTGTGTGTGAGAGTGTTTCCCTCTGAAAGCAGACAGGCGTGGGCTGTGTGTGTTTGTGAGTGTGTGTATGCCAGTGGCCAAACAGTAAGATGCTGACCATATCAACATAACTCATCCTCAGAGATATTATCAACCTCCATATTCTACAGGCAGAGCAGCAAGCCTGAGTGCACACACAGAGCCAGCATGATGGAGAGAGATACAGAGAGAGAGATCAGCCAGCGCTGTGAGAAACCACAGAAACTCCGCTCACTTTCCCAGCTTTAAAATGAACACCAGCAAAACCAATTCATCAATCCTCTGTACAGAGTGAATAAAAACACTCAGCGGAGAGCAGGAGAGAAAATACAAGGAGGGGTCAAAAAGTAGAGAAAAGGAGAGGAATGAAGAGAAGCAGAGAAAGAGAAAGAAGAGCAAATAAAACAAAAAAGGAGGAGAAAAAGAAGGGGGTAAGGATAGAAGGAAACGAAACAAGAGTGAAAGGGAGTAAAAGGAAACAGGAGAAAACAGAAAGCAATAAGGGGAAAAGAGACAGAGGAAGGAAACAGGAAAGGGGGAAGAGATGAGGAATGAAAAGGAAACAAAGGAGAGAAGAGGAAAGGAAAGGAAACAAAAAGGTGGAGGGGGAAGGAAAAGATGGGGAGAGAGGAGAAAATTAAATGAAATAAGAAAGTGGGAGAGAGGAGATAAGGAAAGGAAACAAGAAAACTGGGAGAGAGATAGAGAGAAAAGAAAACAAGAAGGCTGGAGAGAAGAGGGAAGAAAAGTAAATAAAAGGGATAGAAGAGGAATGAAAAATGGGGAAAGGAGTGGAAATGATGAGAAAAGGAGGTGAGAGCAGATAATGGGAGAACAGGAGGGGGAAAAGGAGAGGTGACAAGAAAGGGAGTGGGAATAGAAATAAGAGTAGTGACAAGGAAATAGAGGGAATAGGAGTGGTGATGAGAAAAGGAGGGGAAATATGAGAGGTAACAAAAAAGGGGGGGGGCAGGAGGGAAAAGGAGGGGGAATAGGAAAGTTGAAAAGAAAAGGAGGAGGGAAAGGAAAGGTGATGAGAAAGAGGGAAGGAAATGAGATGAAACAAAATAGGGGAGAGGAAATGTAATTGAACAAGGAAGCAGGAGAAAACAAGGATAGGTGAGGACACAAGAAGATGAGAGAAGTTGAAGAGGAAGAAAGAACAGGAGATGAGCCAAGAGCAGGATGAGACCAGGAAAGGAGGAGAAAGAAAACAAGGCTAGGTTAGGAGATGGGAGGGAATGAAGAGAAAAGTGGACACAAGAGAGGAACAAGGATAGTAAAGGCAAATCACAAGGAGAGAAGAGGAAAGGACATATGAAGGGAAACGAGAATAAATAAAGCAGGTAGAGAAGAGGGGGAAACAAGGGGTCCTTAAAGTAAAGGTTAAGAACAGAGGAGGAGAGCATATAGGAGAGGGAAAAAGTCAGAAAGGGAGAGGAAACAAGTGAGGAAAGATAGGGGGATGAGGACAGAAGGAGAGAATAAAGAAAAGGAGAGATAAGATGAGGAGAGGAGGTAAAGCAGAGGTCTTTAAAGCTGCAAAAACAATTAAGGTTGACGTCAGGGCCAAGCTCGAGGTTCATTAATCCCCAGGCAAGGCCCCTTACTGGGGTTAATGCTGGCTCCACAGACCCCTGAATGCCAAGAATCTCCATCAGCCTGCTGTTAACAGACCTCAGTGCCCAAGGCTCATCAGGCACTCACACTCACAGTTACTTTGAATTAATGTCTAAACATGCTGAATTAATAAAACACTGTAAGTTGTACCATCTTGATCCTAAAGTTCTGTTTAATTAAACTAAATCTTTTCAAAAATCTGTGATGAAATGTCAACAACTCCAAATGTGTTGCCTTATTTCTCAGCCTCTGACACCTCAAGAATATGCGGTTAGACAGCAGAGTGCCAGCAAACAAACAGTTCTATTATTAAAGGGATATTCTGACGTAAAATTAAGTTAGGGTCAAACACACTGTAACACTGAGTTAGACACCCCCTTGAGAGATGAATGTTGCTGACCTCTTGCTTCTTTAGTTATACCAACTTTAACAACCACCGCACGATAGCAATACACAGCGGTCTACGTCTCCATGCGCAAACCTCAACCAAAAAGCCACTCTGTAGCCACAAATAAAGCTCAGAACAGCACCTACCTTCATCAACAGTACATATAGGGTCCCAGCCGCAGCACTAGCCACCAAACATCTTTTTAGTTTTGCCTGATTTCTTTAGCAAAGAAACTAAACAGCAGATAATTTCTTTGAAGCAATAATCATCATAACAATCCTTTTGCACTGCAGTCTCGGTGTTCTTCTGCCTTAGCCTCTTGGTCTGAATGCATTTCCATGAACTAATAATAATAACAAATGTTCTTCCTTGAGCTGCGAAACTCCGCTGCACCCTGTGATCTACTTGTCAGGGTTCCCCCAACAAACAAGCTCCCCCCACAAAAGATGTTTGGTGGCTAGTGCTATTGCTGGGACCCTATATGTACTGTTGATAAAGTTAGGTGCTGTTCTGAGCATTATTTGTGGCTATAGAGTGGCTTTTTGGTTGAGGTTTGTGCGTGGAGATGTAGACCACTGTGTATTTCTATTGTGCGGTCTTTGCTGAAGTTGGTATAGAGAAGCAAGCAGTCTGCAACATTCATCTCTCAAGGGGATGTCTAACTCAGTATTAAAGTGTGTTTGACCCTAATTTAGTTTTACACTGGAGTATCCCTTTAACAGTACATTTATCAAACCCACACACTTGTTTTATGTCCAGGTTTCCTAAATCAATTAATAAACAGTACAAATCCAGATGAAAGGCTTACATCTATGTTTCAATACATGACCCCAAATTTCATTTCAGTCTCCAAAAACATGAAAGTCAAAACGTACGTGCCTGGGTGCAGTACTAGTCTCCCCTCTGTAAAATATAACTCATTTGCATTGGTTGTGCGATGTCGGGGCTTGTAATTAGCAGCGGTGATTAACTGGTTGGTGGAGAGGGGGCACAGACCAGGGCAGTGCAGAAGACGAGGCAGAGCCAAGGATCTGTCAAATATGAAGGAGTGAGATAGGAGGAGAGAGAGAGGTGGAGAGACAGTAGAGTGAAAGGACGAGGAGAGGTGGTAGGAGAGGAGCAAAGGTGAGAAACAAAAGCCTGTAGTCAGTGTGTCTCAGCGTGTTTGTGTATGTGTGTGTGTGGCTGGCCTGCTGGCTGGCTGGGGTGGAGTGTGTGTGTGTGTGTGTGTGTGTGTGTATGTGTGTGTGTTGTGAATATTAAGAGGAGCGGTGTGGGGCGGTGGCGTCCAGGCCTGGTGATTAATGTTGACACAGTAAGAAGAGGCCAGCCTGTTGACATCCATTATTGCTCTGTGCTTAACGAGGCCAGGGCCACAGAGACACCCTCCACACCAGGCCGGACACACACACACACACACACACACGCACACACACACACACACACTTTCACACTCACTCTTTTAAGGTAAACCCTCACATCGGCAGGAATATTAGAGCATTCAGCATCACAGTCTGTATATCTAATGGTACAGCAGACAGGAGAGAGAGTGAGAGTGCTCTTTGCAGTGAAACACACAGAGTATGGGTGTGAAGGTTAAAGCTGTAAAATCTGTCATACTACGATATTAATGATACTCCTCGGTGGTGATGTATTGATGATATGACTGTAGATACAGCTAAAGGCATGGCTGAAAGGGAAAGTAACTTCACTGAAAAAAAAATGCTACTTCAATCCACCAACTAGTTATTGGTAGTTTGGTGAACTTATATTTGGTTTATACTGAGGTTTTCAAAACTAACTAAGATGCACTTAACTGCATGCAGCAAAATTGAGACTATTAGAAACAAACAAAAACAAACTCTCCACCATCTCAGGGGGATGTTAATTATTATCTTTCCTTCTCTTTTCTCCTCATCTCTAACTTATTGTTCCAACTTTCTCTTTCTTCCAACTTGCATTACCTTGCTTCAACCTCTTCTTTCCCTAGACTGGATTCGAACCTATAGGACCACTTCATACAAAAGGAGGACCTCCAACGATCATACTATGGGCCTTCTTGCCTCAGCCTGTCCTTAAAGTCTTCCCAGACAGTAAGCAGTTTCACTGAAGCTATTTAAAGGCTTGGTTAAGATGACAGTGTGGGGAAAGCAGTCTCTGTTCCACATGGATTTGAACCCAGACCTTCCATTTCCCTTATGGGCAGCAGCTCGAACCCTTCTGCCACAGACTTTCCTGGCCATAGACACCTTTTTAGGTTTTGTTTGGTTATGTATTTAAAGAGCTAAGATCAGATTTCCATGTGAGCAAAGCACCAAATTAGGTTTCAAACCCAGGGCGATGTCACTTCGGGTTGACAGCTCTGACCATTTCTGGATGATTGCCTCAAAACACAGCTCTGATTGCAGAGTCAGGACAAGATTACCCCAAATTTCCAACCCATGTGGAATGGCGGCAATTTTTGCCGTCACCAATTCCTACTGGATGCATTTGGGAGGTGAATTTCGTGGCAAATTTCGGACGGTGGGAATTGTGAGGACTCACAAGACCCCCCCTGAATTCACATGCAATCATGCGATAACGAGTTGTCTCTATAAAGACAGCCACATAAACATATAAGCAGTACATTGTGTCCTTCAAGAGGAGGAAATCCACTCTGTTCAGACCAGTAAATCAGACACTTTTGTGGAGATTGGGAATTAACCATGGGTAAGTGCAATATTATTCTGTGATTTTGGATTCCCAGAATCAGCATCTCCTCATCCATGGTGTCAACAAGGTGAAATGAAGTCTGAAAAACCTTTGACTTGTTCGTCCCCGCCCGTTTGCATGGTGTGAAATATGATCCGCCTGAAACACAGTGTTTTATTTTGAAAAGACGCCGGATGTTTTATTTTGTATCTGTGCCCGAATTCCTTTCCCGTATGGGCTAATCTGTGCTGAATTTATGGGGCATGCTGCAGCGTCCAGAAAAACCAGAACTCTGGTGATCGTCTGCAAAGCCCGCTGAACCACAGGGGGCCTGAAAGAAGCGGAATTTGTGGAATTTGACACATTAACTTGAATGGAAACGTTCAGCGGTGATCAGTGCCGTAGCCTTTTTGCCGCCGTTCCGAATGCGGTAGAAATTTGGGGTTACACATCTCCGTCATAGAAAGTCAAAAGCTGGGATTTGAATCGCTTACTACTTAAGCCAAGATAGCAGTACAAACAAACCACCACACCACAGTACTCATTCACTTCTTTTTATTTCACCATTTCACTGCCTTGCTTCAAAAGCTGGGCTCAGGCTGCAGTGTGAATTAAGCATTATATTCCTGCCTCACATGGAAAGGTCCTGTTCTGGATTTGAACCCACAATCTTCTACTGAGAAGAGGCAATACTCATCTTTGCCCCAGAGCTCAGCTTTATTTAACCACTGGTGTACTGCAGGAAGTTACCAAACTTACCAAACTGGATCCAAAAGAAAAATGTAGTGTCTCACAGGGACCCAAATTGGCAAGACAGTAGATAACAGTTTGTTTATCTATCATAAATATCCTAGTTCAGAAGTTTTTTTTTATAGATATGGGTGACCAAAGGTTTAAGAATTCCTCCTTGAGCTGAAAAGATTCAAAGATATGAACTGAATGCTCATATTCATCACAAATATACACACAGCTCTCCAACCATTCACTCTCACTACTAGCTATTCCATCCACCACACTGGACCCAGCATGGGGTCCAACAGGTCTTTGATTGCTCTAAGTATATCTGTCTCGCTCTCTCTCTTCTTTATCCCCTTTGTGTCACCTCAGATGGAGACACTGTGCAAGAAAATTACTGTCTGTCGTATGGCATCACTGACAACTGCAGAGCCCCTCAACCTCGCCTCGGTGCATAGCAGCCGCTCCTCTCTCAACTGCTCTGCACTGCTCTGTGACACATCTATCTCTCCTCTTTTTTTCATTCCAACCACCCTCTTATTATCAGAAAACCCTATCTGCTCTTTGTAGGAGGCCCAGTGATAAAGGCAGCGGCAGCTTCCGACGCAACTCCTGCCTCCACCTCCCACCCCGACCCCGACAGAAGCCGACTCTCAATCAGCGGCGGAGAAGCTGAAGGCTTTTAAATCCAGACCTGCAGCCACTTCAAAGAGCTGTGGACCCCCCCTTCTTCAGAAAGGAGCCTTAACACTAAAGCAAATGTGACTAGAAGTCAATTAACTGCTGGAGAGTGGTAATGGAGATGATTGTGGAATCGTGTGAGTGGGTTGAGTTCTGTGGAGGGTTATTCGGTTATAAAAGCCGGGTGCTTTGTCCTTGTCTGTTCAGACTGCAGGCCTTAATATGGAGGAGTTTTATAAAGCCTCAGAGTTTATAGAAAATGCTTAAATGTAACTGAGAGCAATCAGCAGCACTAATGCACTTTTTCCTGCGTTTTTCCAAAGAAGAAGAGAAGAGCAGGTCTGCTAAAGCTGCCAGAGCAGACAGACATGTCTAAACCTTTTGAATTGTAAATGTTGTGAGAAGCAGGTTGATGCTGTTAAGTACAGAATAACGTCCTTTTTCCCTGAGAGAAATTCTACTTTAAAAGTCACGAAATAGCAATGATGACTACAAGTTTCCTGACTGCTTGAATCATAACTCAATAAACTTGTACACACATTTTATAGTGTGGACTTAATGATTTGCTTTATTACACAGGGATTTATCTACAGTGCAACATCTATAATGTATAGTTTACATTTTAACTATTAGCACTGAAGATGTTTATGCCGTTTTGCTACCAGGAATATTACGTTTAAGTTACTGAAAAGCTGACAGCAGACATGTTTTGATAAGAAGTTAAGAAGGCGACTCGGCTCATCCTCCTGTCAAATGGTTCACAGTCACAGTGTCTGATTCAAGTGTGTCAGCTTTATTTATAATGTCATTTTGATTCAAAATTTACAAATAAAACAAAATTTTGCCTGAAAAACAATCATTGAGGTGAAGGTACCAGATGTGCTCAGGGAACCGATTTATGACGTCACTCTATATATGATTGGTTGGAAGTTGGTTCGGATGGCGTAGAAGATTGTGGCTGCTCTGGACATTACGGAAGCGGTTATTACCAGATTAGGTTTCATTGGATTGTAGTTCTTTGGAGAAAACATGGACAAATTTTATGAAGCTGTCTATCACTTTAAGGGGATTTATGACGGCGGGACTACTGCCTCTTCTAGGTTGCCAAAGGAAACCAACATGCCACATTCAAAGTCACTTATATCCTCTTTCTTCCTCATTCTGATGCTCAGTTTAAACTTCAGCAAGTCGTCTACATGCCTAAATGCACTGCATTGCTGCCACATGATTGGCTAATTTGTGTTAACAAGCAATTGAGTTAGTGTGGCCAATGAGTGTTTATCTTTAGACATTTATTTATCCAATTTGTTTACCCAAAAAATAAACTTTTAATTCGTGTTTCCTCAACGCAAACTGCTCAGTTTTCATCTATTTTCACATGCAATCTAATTCTACAGCAGCAGCATCACGTCAGGAGCAAATTTAGTTAATTATGTCGCAATCAGAGCAATTTAAACCGGTGTGATAACATTTCCACATGACAGCTGTAGTAAAACAACAGCAGAGGATGATATTTAACGAGAGAGATCGCAAAACAAGCGGGGACGTAATGAGTGTACTCCACAGCACAGTGTGTGTGCACCTGTGACAGTGAGGAGCAGAGCGAGCAGAGGGGATGTAAATCCTCCAAAAATAAACTGACAGTCAATACACCCCAGAGTGACACTGTCTATGTGTGGAAAGATGCGATATTTCTCATATAGACCACAGCCTGATGAGTGGAAGAAAATAAAAGTGAAATAGTTTTTGACAATTCCTCAGGTATGACTGTTGTTTTTAACACTTTTGACGGGCTTAGTTTTATACAGAAAAGCTTAAAGCTTCTTACATTTAGGTCAGAGCAGAGTTGATATTCATGTTATCAATCAGGGGACCCTTACATTTAAATGACACACTACAGAGAACCAAAACTCTACAGATCATTTAAAGAAAGTAAAAGGAAAGATAAGAGCGTTGGGAGGCAAAGGGTGAGCTACCCAGAGGCCAAGTTAGCCGCTCAAAGATATTTGATATCAGTGTGTCCTCTAAGACTTCTGAGAGCACTCTGTTCAACTCTCAAGTTCACTCTGAAGGCGCATCGAGGTGAACTTTTTGGAGCGCGTTCATTAAGCCGGTTGGTTAAGAACATAGATTTGTGTGTTTGAATGAGTGTTTGTGTGCAGGAGTGTGGCCTATGAGTGAAAGCCTCTCCATACCGCCACAGCTCCGTCAATAGGATACCTCTGCACGATTGATCCCTCTCGTTCTCTCCAATCTTTCTGTCTTTGGTCGACCCCCTACTACTACTACACACACACACACAAATACACACACCTTTCTACAATTTGCCATTGACCAGAGAGCCCCAGCTAGATTGATAGCACAACAGTGAGACGTGACCACGCGCTGCTCTTGAATATTTGCCTCCCTCTGTGTCATATTGACCTCCGCACTGCGATCATTTCCTCCTGACCCTGCTGGGTTGACATGAAGCCCAATGAGTCTGACTGAGCTGTCACTGCTTGATGCTACAGACCCGTTGGCTCCTCATAGACTCTGTTCATCACATGTTCAATAAAGGGAGGCTCAAGAGGAGAACCTAAGGAGTCCAAGTCCAATCTGTAGAAAGTCCCCTATAACTACTCGAACCAATGTGTCAGTTTATCTAGACTACAATGGATCCTAAACTTAGGCTCTGTCTACAGATGGTTTTCAAAAAGGATTTTTTCTTTCCATTTTTTTTTTCCAAGAGTTAAACAAACACAGTTTACAATTGCTGCTCGCTCTGAATGTTCAATACACACGCTGCCCACACAGCGGTCTTCTGTGGCGTTTTGACAAGACAGACTGATCTAACAGTGTCACCACAGCTACTTGGCTGGCCTGCTCAGGAGCCTTTTCCTCCTTTTTGTATCATTTTTAGGCGTTTTGTGCCACTATTTAAAAGGTAGACCAAGCAAGAAATGGAGAAGAGCCAGGAGTGACATAAAAGGATACCCAGGCTGTACTCGAACTCAAGCCAACAGTATCTCAGGTGTAGACGGGGGTTTTTATAGGTTTTTAAAAATTACTGTATACATGTAGATGCAGCCTGAGTAGCATTTTTTTTAAATTCAGTGTTGGTTGTTACTTTGTAGAGACAGAAATCTGCAGCAAGTGAGTTTCAATGTAGTTTGAATACTTCAGTTTTTCTAAAGAAAGTAATCTAGTACCTGAGTAATTATTGACTGAGCAACCTACACTTGTATTGGAGTGATATTTGACCAGTCGTATCTACACTCTAACCCAAGGCTTGAAGCTGTGTACTTCAGCAATGGATCTGTTCTGATTGAATAACTGAATGTTTTTAGACTGCTTACAATACACCGTGAATGAATTTCAATGACGCGATTAGAGGCTGTTAACAAAAAATCAGTGAATACGTCATTCAGTGTTATTTTTAAGTTTTGGTAGTAGACACAGTAATTTTTAAATTCCCTGAAAGAACTTTCCCAAAGAATCAATAAATATCCATCTAATCTAATGTAGTGTAATGTAATGTACAAGAAATGTAAAAAGAAAGTGCAAGGAGGATCCCCACCAAAGCTTAATGGTGTGAGAGGTTTCCTTAGTATGGCAAAGTTTGGAAACTCCCAGTAGGGCGGTAAACCAAAAATTTACCCATACTGAAATTTATGACATAACCAACGTCATCATTTTGCCCATATCGGTACATTCAGTGTCAAAAAAATGAATAAATAAAAGTTAGTTCTGGATGTGTGTAAGTAGGCTTTGGTCTCATGTCCCTTAAGATGCTGTCCTACGTCAGAGACATGACTCCACCCCATCCAGTCTGTAAGGAAAAGGGAAAGACAGACGAGAAGATGGAGGACGGTTCAAAAGCTGTAGCAGCTGTAGTGGCTGCTAAAGTAGACAAAGTTAATGTGGGAGGGGGTGAGCAGCTTGTGAAGTAGTTATCATCCATTCATCGTTATCGAGGTGAACTGCTCAATATATTGTGATATTGATTTGAGGCCATATCGCCCAGCCCTAACTCCCAATCTAATCTCTGATTACCACAAAATATCACAACCCAGCCCTATTTCAGACTATATATGACTGTCCTCAACTTCCTTTGAAATGACAGAAATGTATGTAGGCTTTGGTCTCATGTCCCTTAAGACGCTGTCCTACGTCAGAGACATGACTCCACCCAATCCAGTCCGTAAGGAAAAGGGAAAGACAGACGAGGAGATGGAGGACAGTTCAAAAGTTGTAGCAGCTGTAGCGGCTGCTAAAGTAGACAAAGTTAATGTGGGAGGGGGTGAGCAGCTTGTGAAGTAGTTATCGTCCATTCATCGTTATCGAGGTGAACTGCTCAATATATTGTGATATTGATTTGAGGCCATATCGCCCAGCCCTAAGTCCCGATCTAATCTCTGATTACCACAAAATATCACAACCCAGCCCTATTTCAGACTATATATGACTGTCCTCAACTTCCTTTGAAATGAAAGAAATGTATTTTTTATTGGGCCTGTTTCAGATGAGGCCCTTTAATACTAAAGCATGACAGTAAATGTTTAAAACACATCTATACTTCTTCGACTGTATTGAAAAGTATTTTAAACAAACATTAAAAAAGTGACTTTGGTCTTCTGAGAAATTTCTTCATTGTTTCAAGTCAGCCCAAACTGTCACTCAAGATACTCTGAATGGGTGTCATAGGCCCTTAAAACATCAAATCTTATAGAAAAATAAAGAAATATAAAAACTTTCATTTCAAACAACCAAATGAAAGTAAGCCCAAATTCAGCTTCAAGTGTTTGACACGACAGCAGCCACACTTCTCTCCTGGGTGCTGTGTGGGTGTTCGGTGAAGTTAATCAAAGTGAATAATTCCAAATCTCTTCCTCCAGAAGTACCAAACCAAAGCAGACATTTTATTCGGTGACTTTAATATGATTTTGTCCCAGAGCCCCCACTATCAGTGGTCCTTAGCCGCCGCCTTTCATAAATCCAAAGTCCGGTCTGGGACCCACATCCC